GCTGAGATTGGGAAGGCGCTGAAGGTCTTAGCAAGGGGAGGGGCAGGAGAACTGCCCAGGCCCGCCTTGTGGAGAGTGCGCGCCTCTGCCATCCCTCCAGGAAGGGGCTTGAAGCCAGCTCTGGAGAGCAACTCCAGAGGGGCTGGCAGGGGGCTGGAGAAGGAGGAAGGGAGGGAAGGGCTCTGCTGAGGGAATGGGGCCATTGAGAAGGAAGCCGCTTCCTCAGCCCCCCAGTCTGGAGTCAGGCTCCAGAGCGAGGCTGGAGGTTCACGGGAACAGAGAAGAGCTGAGGAGAATTGGGCCAAAAACGAGAGATACGATGTTCTTCAAAAGCAAACTGCATGAGTCCCACAAACGTATGACAAAATGTCCAATCTCGTTGCTTAATACAAATCAGTGAAAATGAAACACCATTTTTTTATGCTTATGAAATTCACAAAGAATAAAAATCACAATCAAATGTGAGCAAGTTTTCTATAAGGCAATTTAGTAAAAAGTATCAAGTGTATTAAAAAATGTCCACATCTTTTGACCCAGCAATTTCACTTTAGAAAAATCTCTCCTAAAGACATAATCAGAGATGTGCCCAAAGAAATACAGTGAAGTTCTTTGGTAAGGCAAAATTGAGATTTACCTATATAATGAAATAACATGCAGCTATTGAAGTATTATATGTTGCCATAGGAAGATGTTTATAATATATCAGCATGTTAAAGTTTTGTTTTTTTTTTGAGACAGAGTCTCACTTTGTTGCCCAGGCTAGAGTGAGTGCCGTGGCGTCAGCCTAGCTCACAGCAACCTCAATCTCTGGGGCTCGAGTGATCCTACTGCCTCAGCCTCCCGAGTAGCTGGGACTACAGGCATGCGCCACCATGCCCGGCTAATTTTTTTTTTTTTTGTATATATATTTTTAGTTGGTCAATTAATTTATTTCTATTTTTGGTAGAGACGGGGTCTCGCTCAGGCTGGTTTCGAACTCCTGACCTTGAGCAATCCGCCCGCCTCGGCCTCCCAAAGTGCTAGGATTACAGACGTGAGCCACCACGCCCAGCCTAAAGTTTTTGAAACTGTATATATAGTATTGCACCAAAAAAACTTTTCAAAAATATACAAATCTATGCATAGAAACCCAAGTGGCAGATTCTTCCATCAAATAGCTAATAATAGTCTTTATCTTTGGTAGAAATACAGGTGATTTTTTTTTTTTTTTGGTCGGGGGAGTATGTTTTCCACATTTTGCATTTGAGCATGTTATTTTTATCATGAGATGACATATTATTTAAAAAAATGAACAGATTGATTACATCTAGGATTTTTCTTAAACAACCAGAAACTAAGGCATCATCTAGGTTCTGGAAGTTAATTCCTAAATCTGTTTTTCTTTCTAAAGTCTTTTCTCCAGCTGGTCTCGGTGGCTCACACCTGTAATCCTAGCACTCTGGGAGGCCGAGGAGGGTGGATTGCTCAAGGTCAGGAGTTCAAAACCAGCCTGAGCAAGAGCGAGACCCGTCTCTACTATAAATAGAAAGAAATTAATTGGCCAACTAATATATATAGAAAAAATTAGCCGAGCATGGTGGCGCATGCCTGTAGTCCCAGCTACTCGGGAGGCTGAGGCAGCAGGATTGCTTGAGCCCAGGAGTTTGAGGTTGCTGTGAGCTAGGCTGACGCCATGGTACTCACTCTAGCCTGGGCAACAAAGTGAGACTCTGTCTCAAAATAAATAAATAAAGTCTTTTCTCCTTTGGCAGAGGCACTCACGTGGGTCTAGGAGAGGGGCACATGGCCTTTCCTCTCTGCCATCAAAATGCCCCTGTATTTCTTAGTCTCTTTCCAACAGAACACATGAGCAGAGAATGTATCTGGCCCTTGAAATTTAAGAAACCAAATCACTGTAGTGCCAGACACCACCTTCCGACCCCACCCACTCCCAATAACTGCCAAGCTGGGTGTCTGGCCTGGCTGGGGACCGGACGATGGGTGTCTGTGACGATGGCACTGCCTCCATCATGGCGCCTGTGCACGAGGCACTCGGTTTATTTGCAGATTCCCGTTCTGCTGTGGATGCTCTTTCCAGCCCTCAACTGAACTCTGAGTAAAACAAGCTGGGGACACTCCTCAGAGTGACATATGAGGTCACCACCTCCCTTTCCTGGCCCAGGTAGCCAAAGAGCTCTGAAAACCTGCAGCAGACCTCAGATACCCACCGGGGCTAATCGTCCTCAGAGCCCTTTTCTCTCCCTTACACACAGCCAAAGCCAGCCCTAGGATGTGGAGGTGTCATGCAACGAGCCGCGTTGCACATCTACCCAGATCCCTGATCCCAAAGGCAGGAAAGTGCAAACTGTTATTTATTCAAACTGCCATTTGATTACACTGAAACCCAGTGACTAAACCCAAAGAGAACAGTCTTTATGGTGGGTAGGAGCTTCCGGTCAAGGAGAGTTAATTTTAATTTTTCCACTGAGCTCAACCTCAAAGCAAGGTTGATTGCCACTCAGCAAGATGGACTGCATTAGTGGAGGCTTTAATTGAGCGCAGACATGAGTCCCGAAAGCATAATGTTTGTTGTATACATACTTTGGGGCAAGAAGAAAAATGAAAAACAGACCTTTCTGAGGAAAACTTGAAGCAGAATGTGTTCCATAGTTGGGATGGCCGCACCAAGAGCCAGCTGGGGCGAGGGGTGGGAGGAGGAGGGTGTCAGTGGGACTCCCCACCTCCCCATGCCAAGGTTTCAATGGCTGTTTGCAAATGTTTCTAAATGCTCAGTGCCTGCCCAAACACTGGACACCGCTGTGGTTCTTCTTAGGGCAAACAGAAAGCTCCAGGGAACCGTCAGTAGACGAGGGTGCCCTTGCCCGAGGGGCCCAGGTATGTGTTTCTGGCGCAGGGCTCCTCTTGGCCAAGGGTGTCAGTCCATGCTGGCATCCAGCATGGTCACTTCTGTCCACATCCTTTTACCTTTATTCCTTTGGCCATGAGATGAGCCCTCAGCTGGAGCATAGTGGCACTTTTATCCTCTTACTGTTATAGTTCCTGACCCTTGTCACCTCTTCCTTGAACCAAAGTACTGGTCTTTGTGCTGTTGAGGGATATGTCTTCTTAAAGCCCAGACTGGATCACCCTTCCTCAAACACTGTCTAATGCTCTCTTTGACCTTGGCATCCAAACACTCCCATGATCCAATCCCACAATCTTTGTGTGGATTCAATCCCCAATCTTTTTCTACAGACCGTTCTCTCCTCTTCACTCACATCCTATGCTTTGGCCAAACCAGTCCTTCCCCTTATGCCTGTTCCCAATCTATCAGCAAGTCCTGCTGTGACATCACCTAGTCTAAGCACCTTCCTCTCTTGGCTATACAACTGCAACAGCCTCCAACAGACCTCCCTGTTTATATCATTTTGCCCTCTCCAATCCATCTCCACACATAAGCCAGAATGATCTTCAAAAGCAAAGTGCTTGCCTGTTCCTTAAAACCCTCTAGCGGCACTCCACACTTTCAATAAAATCCAAACGCTTCCCTGTGGCCTACAGGGCCCACCATGATCCAGCCCCTGCCTACCTTTCCAAACTCCTACACCATTGTCCTCCCTGCTGCTTCAGCCATATTGGTTTCCTTTCTGTTCTTAGTATCTGCTGTTCCCTCCACCTCGATGAAACACTTTTCTTCCAACTCTTGCTCAGCCTCACTCCTTTTCATCCCTGTGTCTTAGCTTAAATGCCACTTCCCTGCAGAGGCCTTTCTTGACCACCTTGCCTAAAGCAGGACACAGTCATTCTGTATCACATCATGTGGTCTCAGTTCCCTTGCAGCTCTTACTGCCATCTGAAATCATCTTTATTCATTTGTTGTTTATTTGCTATCCCCGCTAGAATCTGAGCTTCCTAAGGGACCGTGACTAACCTGCTCACTTCTTTGCCATCAGCACCCAGGACAGTGCCTGGCACACAACAGATTCTAAAGCACCATTTGGGGACACATGATTGATTATGGGAAATAATGAATGTTTCCTGAAAGGCCTTTGTTACTAATATCTCCAGCTTGCACACATTAGGTCGTATATTTCCTTGGCCTGGCCTGTCCTTGCCTTGCTGTTCCCCTCCATCACCGACTGTTGACAGGTAGTGCCCCTGTCCCATAAAGAACCCCTCCCCCCAGGCAGAAAGAGTTCCTGCTTTCTGGCAGCCCGCCTCTGTCCCGGCCCTCGCCATGCTGCTTTTTACTCCAGTCATGTTCCAAGGCCACCTACCTCAACACGAGGCAGGTGTTCCTGGACATTCTTGCCTAGAAAGATAAGGCTGTAACCCATTAATAACTTCATTGCTGGCTTCAGGAACTCCCCAGAAATCAACTCAAACAAACATCAGACTGCTCAAAAAGCTCTCCTTTTCAGAAAAATGTTTTGCTCAACTAGGCAAACAACTCACTCACCAAAGCAACGGTTTCACATTCATCTCGTGCCCGCCAATCCTGCCAACATCAATTCAAGAACTTTGCCCAATCCCAATCCTCTCGTGGAAAGTCTGGCCTTAAGCCATTCATACAAGCCTCTACCTCCAAACCCCATCAACACTGAGAAGGTTCGGAGAAGAGGCCCACCTTAAAGGTCCTCTGAGGCTCCATGAAGGGCCACCCTGATGAACAGGTTATTCTGGCCATCTTTGGGGGGATTTGGCAGGTCCGGTTCTGTGACCACTATGGTGTCCAGCTTCAGGCTCCCCTGTATTTGGAGAATGATGACAGAACGAATGCACGAATGAATAGCTCCCCTCCTCTCCCCTCCCCTTTTCCCAACCCTCTCCCTTTTTCCAACAGCCGAGCTAGGAACAGGAAATGGTGCCAGCGGCGTAGGGGACCAGGGAGGAGCAGAGCTTTGGGACTTCATTTGTGACGGCTGGTGCTTATTCTGGGAACCCGAATCCTTGGCAGAAAGCCGCGGGCGCCCGCCGTAGCGCAGGCGCGGGCCCGGCCGACCTCTGTCGCTTGCTCGCAGGGCGACGGCGCTGGACCGCTACGGGCTGCAGAAGGCGGGCTTCACGCACGTGCTGAACGCGGCGCACGGCCGCTGGAACGTGGACACCGGCCCCGACTACTACCGCGATATGGACATCGAGTACCACGGCGTCGAGGCCGAAGACCTGCCCACCTTCGACCTCAGCGTCTTCTTCTACTCGGCGGCCGCCTTCATCCACACGGCGCTGCGCGACGACCGCAGTAAGAGCCCTGCGGCCAACCCGAGGCCCCGCCCCGCCCTGCACAGGCCCCGCCCCGCCCTGCAAGGCCCCGCCCCGGCCCTGCATAGGCCCCGCCCCGGCCCTGCACAGGCCCCGCCCTCCACCCCGGCCGGAAGCGCAGTCTGTGCCCGGCTCAAAGCCAGACCGTAGGGGGTTGCTTGTGGTTTAGCCAGAAAAGTCTGGATCCCTGGAGGTTGTGAAGGTTTGAGCACCTGCCCCACCGAGCGTGCTGCTGCTGGGGTTCAGGCTTAGATGGCCGCCCGGGAATTTACAGGAAGGGCCTTTCGGTCTGAGTCTCTCTACCCTAAGGAACATTCAAAAGGCAGGGCTGGCTGGGTGCCCTCAAAGCTGGAGTTGCGACATTAATCGTGCCTGGGCCTAAACCCAAGTAGTAGTCAAGGGCTTCTGTGCCAGAAAATCCTCAGGGAGCTGACTTGAGTGGAAATCCTTGGGGAGACTTTAATTCTCCGCCAACCAATCAAGTCCACAGGCAGACCCCCGCTCCCATCCCCCAGTCACACGCACTAGTGAGGCCTCCCATACAAGGCCGACCACCTGGGCTTTACTATGGCAAACTATGTTTGAGAATCTGGGTTTTGCACCTGCCAAGTCCAAGTTTCCCAACGTTAATTATCCATCTTTTCAATCACAGTGCTAGTCCTTGTGCTTAAAATGCACTTTTAGCTGCCCTAATCCAGCAGAGGCTACAAGGCTATTTTGGAGAGAAGGGCATGGCTTAGGTATGCATCAGGGGTAAGACAATATGCAGTTATTGCTGCAGGGTGTACTTTGCTGGCATTCCATAAAGTCCAAAGGGACTTCAGCTCCCTAATCTGTTTTCTGACTTCAGCCTACTGTGTCACACGCCCTTTGTGGGGCCATGACAAATGGTATGCTACACATTCAGGGTATCTAGTTACTGAAAGCCTTTCTTGCTACGAGAGGTAGTGACTGTAAGACTCACTGACCGAATGGCCTGCTTCAGGAATCTGGAGCCTGGGGCTGGGCCTAGGCCAGATCTGCTGGACAGTCTCACATCTTAATGGCCATCCCAAGATGGCCTTGGCATCAACAGCCTGCCATAGCCACCAACAATTTGTCATCATTTTGCTTCAGAAAGCAATGTCACAAGGAAAAAACCCACAAAGCTAATGTGCTTGTATTAGAAAATGCCTCGTTTCTAAATTGTCCTTTTATGAGTCTATTTATGAACCATCTTTTGTGCTCTGTTACATTCTGGGATCCAAGCAGGATCAAAAAGCAACTGGAGGCTGGTGCGGTGGCTCACGGCTATAATTCTGGTACTCTGGGAGGCTGAGGCAGGAGGATGGCTTGAGCTCAGGAGTTTGAGACCAGCCTGAGCAAAAGCAAGACCCCATCTCTACAAAAAATAGAAAAATAAGCCTGGTGTGGTGGTGTGTGCCTGTAGTCCCAGCTATTTGGGAGGCTGAGGCCAGAGGATTGCTTGAGCCCAGGAGTTTGAGGTTGCTGTGAGCTATGATGGTGCCACTGCACTCTAGCCTGGTGACAGACCAAGATCCTTTCTTAAGAAAAAATAAAAGCAACTGGACTGAGTCATCACCATGAGGTAAAATTAGCCTCATAGTATTTGAAGTTAACTGAAAACATATTTGACATGAAGAAACAAAAGACTGCAACAACCCAATCCTTCAGTTTCTGTTTAATGCACTCTCTTGCCATTACTGTATCTTAGACCTGAGCCTTAATGGAAGGGGACTGGCAGGCTGGAGAAGACAGGGATGGGTTCAACTTCCTGTCACACAGCTTACTAACGACGTGATGTCTCTGGGCCTTGGTTTCTCCATCTGGTGATGAAAATGTTTACCTTGAAAGGTCATAATGAGAATCAGCAGTGACACACTTAAGGCACTGAGCACAGAACCTGGTGCACAGCAGGCTCTCGGATGTGTTTGATAAAGAGAGGTCGTGTACTGTGAAGCATATGACCACACTAGCACGTGCACATCATCATCATAAAGTTTCCAGACTCAAAAGAAAAAAAAGAAAGACATTCCAACTTTGAACTGGTAAGATATACTCACATGAAAGCTTGTTTTAGGTTGCTGGCACGTCATTTTAGAGTCTGCCCCCACTGCTAAATCAGGAAAGAATCAGGCTCTCAAGTCAGATGTTTAGGCCTGGGCAGATCACAGAGCAGCTCCAGGGGGTGTCAGGCTGATGTGGATCGTGACCAGTTGGTCAAAAGCACCTAGCGAAGAAAGGGTTGAGGGGGAAGAGCGTAGACACAGTGCCAGGGCTAGAGCGGATGGGCAGGGATGTGGGGACTAGGCCAGTGGGCTGGGGACAGGGAGCAGCGCGTGACCCCACTGCCAGGTGGGAGGCTGGGCTCTATTCTCAGTGACATTTGCACTTGCATATCTGAAGACTTCTTCAAATCAGGGGCTCACACACCAACCCTTCAGAACCCAGGAGAAACTTTGAATCTGCCGTGGGTGTGGGGTACTGTAGGTAAGCAAAGAACCCTGTACCCGGTTCCAAGGGGCAGCTGTCACTCAGCCCCAGCCAAAAGTTTGTCTTATGAGAATCAGTGCAAATGTGGTAGATTTCTGACTTTTCAGGGAAAGTCTCCAATCTGGATTTTATTATAAAATCACTCAATTTTTAAGTGTTGGCAACAAATTAAAATTTCTTAAAATGCTGCAAAGGGCAAGCTAAACAACCCGAGGGTCATCAGTTTGTAGCCTGTGCCCTGAGTGGTCAGAGTGACAAAATGCTCGTCAGCGCAGCAACAGCATCACCATACTCCACACAAAGCAGATGGCGGGTACTCGGCCACCTGCCACAGGCAGTGGGTGGTCAGGTTTTATCTAACCACGTACTGGAACCCCAAGGGACACTGCTGTGGCATTTTAGTGCCAGACCCCTAGTACATTTCTTTCTTTCTTTTTTTTTATTGAGACAGAGTCTCACTCTGTTGCCTGGGCTAGCGTGCTGTGGTGTCATCATAGCTCACAGCAACCTCAAACTCCTGGGCTCAAGCCATCCTTCTGCCTCAGCCTCCCAAGTAGTTGGGACTATAGACATGTGCCACCATGCCTGGCTAATTTTTTATATATATTTTTAGTTGTCCAGCTAATATCTTTCTACTGTCTTAGTAGAGATGGCGTCTCGCTCTTGCTCAGGCTGGTCTCGAACTCCTGAGCTCAAACAATCCGCCCACCTCAGCCTCCCAGAGTGCTAGGATTACAGGCGTGAGCGTTGGTACATTATTGTGCTCTTGATGTAAGAAGTGTTGATGGACAGTCTGGCCAAGAAGCGAGGCGTATCTCTCTCTTGCTTGCCCTTGTCTTTCACGTTCTTTGTTGGCTAGTTTCAGCCAAGTGTACCGTTTCCCCACTGCCTGGCCCTCACAGCCTCATTCTTTTTGAAAAGCATTCCTTGTGGGGCTGCGGGGCTGTAATGGTGGCCCGCAATCAGCCCCTGGGGCCCACTCCTCCTCTCCCCTCCCTTGATTTGACCTTTCTGAAAGAACTCCCCAGGCAGCCTCAGTCACTCTGGAAAAATCTCAGAGACAATCCAGTCCACGGTCCTGCCCTGACAGCTGGAAAAACAGAGGCCCAGGGAAGCCAAGTGACATGCCTAGGGTCACAGAGCTAATCAGAGGTGGCACCGTCAGGACACCTGCTTGCCAGCGGGGACTCCTCCTGTCACTGAGGCCTCACAGAAGAGACCTTTCCCCTTATTTTGAGCACCTGGTGACATTACTGTACAAGAGGTCACCGAATATCATGGAAGGCGAGGCGTGCCAGCTGGTTATAGGACCTGACACAACTGAACTTGTCATTCTTCATCAGAAAAAGAAGTATTCACGGAATACTGCCACACGAACCCCATCTGGACTGCCCTAGCTGCTCTCGACACAGCGCCCTCAGAGGAGAATTAGTGTGGTTTTAATTTAATGAGACTTTCTAAGAAACTCCAGGGCAGATGTCATGAGGCTCTAAAGATCAGATTTTTAGTATCACCACTCTCCTTTCGTTTGTTCTTTCTTTTTCTTAAATAGTCCAAAGCCCGCTTTTGAAGCCATCTTAAAATCTATTATGGATAAGGTAGGTATGAATAAATAAATGAAGTCTGCTTCCGAGCAGGAGCTGATTTCCCTGGTGCTTCTAAGCTGTAACCGGCTTGTCCCCGAGTGTTTGAAGGGTCTCCTGCCCTAATATCGCAGCACCACACGCCCATCTCCCCTCAACCCTGGCAGTTCATAACACACTGTGCACCCTTTTCTCAGGACTTCCACACACCCAGAACTGTTGGGGAAGAAGTAGGAACTCTACCAGGGTTTCTCTGCATGTTGTTGAGAAAGGCAGGTTCCAAGATAGTGAGTGGGGGACAAGGAAAGGGCACTCCTAAAACCAAGGCAGGGGGTTGCATGTGAGGCGCACACCTGGCTGGGACAGGGGCAGGGGCTGGGCAGGGTAGGGGCTGGGGTTGGGGCAGGGGCAAGGGCTGGGCCAGGGGCAGGCTGGGGGCAGGGCTGGGGCAGGGGTAGGCTGGGGCAGGGGCAAGGGCTGGGGCAGGGAGAGGGAGGGGGTGGGGGGGCAGGGGAGGGGCTGGGGCAGGGGCGGGCTGGGGGGCAGGGGTGGGGGGGGTGGAGCTGGGCTGGGCTGGGCGGCAGGGGGGCAGGGCCCGGGCTGGGGCAGGGGACAGAGGCACGGGGGGGCTGGCGGGCGAGGGGCAGGCGGGGCCGCGGGCAGGGGCAGGGGCAGGGGGTAACAGCCTCGGCCCGGAGGTCTGATTTGAGTGACAGAGGCCTCCTTTTCATTCATGCAGTTGAGAAGCAGTTCAGATCCTATGGGGAATCCCAAAAGTCTCCATACAAAGGAAAAGTTTTGTAAAAATTTGTGATAACTATTTTGTAAATAAAGGGAGGTTTAGCTACAGTTTCCCATTTTTCCCTATGTGTGGTGACTTTTGGGACACCCTGCAGATTTGAGTTTTCTTTGTAAGATTGTGGAAATTCACCTTTTGGTAAAGGCCAAAGGGGAGCTAGTTAATTGAAACCAGCATTTCTCAAACATATAGACTGAGACCTATTGTAGCGGTCCCCAAACTTTTTGGCACCAGGGACCGTTTTCATGGAAGACAGTTTACACATGAGCCAGGGGCTGGGGCAGGGGAGGATGGTTTCGGGATGATTCAAGTGCATTACATTATTGTCCGGCTTCTATTATTACATTTGTAATATATAACGAACTAATTATACAACTCAACCATTATGGTTGGGACCCCTGTATGAGAGGGTCACAAAATTAAATTGGTGGGTGTGACTAGCATTTCTTTTAAAAAACTGAATGGATTAGAAAAGAATGGAAAACACCAGCATGCACTGCACGTAGTAAGGGTGCATATTATCTGTGAAACTTCTGTCTGATAGACACACACCTGCGGCACTGCATAGTATTTAGAAGCACCGAGCCTGGTGTCAGGCTGCCTGGGTTCAAATCATCAGCTACTTCCTAGCTGTGCGACTTGCACTTCTCTGCACTTCAGCTAGCTCATCTGTAAAATGGGGATAATAATTTTACTTATTTCATTGAGTTGTTGTAAGAATTGACTATGGGGCCAGGGGCGGTGGTTCATGCCTGTAATCCTAGCACACTGGGATGCCCAGGCAGGAGGATCACTCAAGGTCAGGAGTTCGAAACCAGCCTGAGCAAAAGTGAGACCCCGTTTCTATCAAAATTAGTAAGAAGTTAATTGGACAGCTAAAAATATATAGAAAAAATCAGCTGGGCATGGTGGCCCATGCCTGCAGTCCCAGCTACTCGGGAGGCTGAGGCATGAGGATTGCTTGAGCCCAGGAGTTTGGAGTTGCTGTGAGCTAGGCTGACACCACGGCACTCCACTCTACGCCAAGGGCAACAAAGTGAGACTCTGTCTCAGAAAAAAAAAAAAAAAAAGAATTGACTATGAGAAAATACATGAAGCGCTTGGAAGAGTATGCAGGTGGAGTGAGGCATAAATGTGTCACCTGTGAATTTTGTCCTCCTCTGTTCAGCGCTGGGCTCACACAGAAAAGTTTGAAAGTCACTGCTAGAAAATTCCAGCACTGACAGTGTCACCCTTGCTCAGGGCCCTCGCCCTGGCTGCTGTCCAGCTCAGCCTCCTGGTTCTCTGGCGTGGCCCGTGCTGGGAATAGGCTACGTGCAGCTGCCCCGCCTGTCTCCTCCCAACTCAGTCCTAAGAGCAGTTTCCCACCTCCATGCTGGGCCCTAAAGGGTGGTGCTTGGCAAAGCCACAGAGCAGAGAGGGAGCAGTGCCCTGAGGGTTGGGGACAGGCCCCAGAAGAAAGCGGTTGGGCCCAATCAGAAGCTAAGGCCTCCAGAGAAGAGCAGGCCCTTTACCCCAGGGAGACCTACCTACCGAGTTTGGGTGGCCGATGGCATTCGCCCCACGGTCTTGAAAACAAAGCTCAGCTCCAGGATCTCCTGCCACAGCTGTGTCCTCTCTCTCCTCTCCCCCTTCCCTCCCACCCCTGCGTCCCCCCTCCCCTCCTCCCGCCTAACAAACTTCAGGCCCCCAAAAGGCTTAATGAACTGCAGCTTTCGACTGTTTCAAGTATTTAGTCACGACAGAAAGAATTACCCTTTTTGCCAGGAGAGGAAGAAACGCTTTAGTTATCAGCAGAGCTGGCCAGGGGCCAGGCAGCCTCTGGAACAGTCTGTGGGGATTAGAACAGCCTGGAACGGAGGTAGACGCTCCCCGGCCGGACACGTCCACACTGGAGCGCAGCGCTGCCTGCCGGGTGGGAAGCTGGGGCCGGCCCCAGCCGCGACACTGCGACCAGGAAGCGGGCCCTGCCTCCTGCCCTCCTTTCTGGCCACGGTGAACAGGGGAGCTCGGCGACATGGAGGCTGGGACTCGAGGGCTGCCTGATGGGCTTGTGGAGAACTGTGATAAAATAGTTATTCAAAGAGTTATTTAGCGCCACAGCAGCCCCGTGAAGAAGATGCTGATGGCGCCCCCATTCTACAGATGGGGAAGCTGCGGCGCACAGCCACCGGGTGACCCGCCGGGCCGTGGGCCGGAGAGCGAGAGAGCCAGGGTGTGAGAGGGCGTCGCCTGAGTCCCACGCGGGTGCCCGCCGCGCCCCCCGCCCCTCACGTGGCTCTTCTCCCCGCCCGCCTGCAGGTAAGATCCTGGTCCACTGCGCCATGGGCCGCAGCCGGTCGGCGACCCTGGTCCTGGCCTACCTGATGATCCACAGGCACATGACCCTGGTGGACGCCATCCAACAAGTGGCCAAGAACCGCTGCGTCCTGCCCAACCGGGGCTTTCTGAAGCAGCTCCGGGAACTGGACAAGCAGCTGGTGCAGCAGCGGCGACAGGCGCAGCGCGGGGGCGGAGAGGAGGACCCCGAGAAGGAGCCCTAGGGCCCCGCGCCCGGCGGCGGCGACGCCTGGGGACGCAGAGGAACGGGCCGAAAATAGCGCTGGCCTGTGGCTCCGTTTGCCACGGAGGAGGGACAGTGAATCCAAAGCTTGACTTCTTCCAAACAATCTTACTGACCTTCCCCGGGGCTGCGCTGGGAACCGGGAGGACCGAGAGCCACCTCCCCGCAGGTCCCGGCTTCACAGCAACGCGGGGCAGAGTGTGCACACACAATTCTGCACAAAGTCTCCTGCGCTATTTTTTTGTTTTGTTTTTTGTTGTTTTTTGGTATAAGATGAAAGCGGAAAAGGATTTAAAAATGTGTAGGCATTGTGCTGTGATTAAACGTTTGGCTTTGTCTGAAAGTCATATTCTTATAAAAAATAATTTAAAAATATAAGTTGATTTTCTAACCCCGGAGAAGAACCGGGTGAGCTGCGTTGCGCAGGGCCGTCGCCTGCTTCCGGTTTTGTCTTTACAGTAAAATGTCCCGGCTCGAGACACCATCGACACTGGCAGGGGTGGGGACTGGGGTCCTGAGCCCTTGCACGACGCCCGGCTTCAGGTGTCCCTGCCGTCCTCAGGGAACGAGGGCTCCTCAGAATCGCAGCCAGAGCTGCCACTCCTCAGAACAATTCAGTGAACTGTGGTACATTTGGACAAGTAACAGTTTGACTGTATAATTTTGGAAAAAAAGAGCAAGGAGACAACTCTTTAGGGAACCAGAGCTCCGGGAAGCTCCTAGTCAAAGCTGATGCTAGTCAAAGCGACATGGGCTGGCTTGCGGTGACCCCGGAGTGCCTGCCAGGTGTGGTTAGCCGTGGAGGAATGGGAGGACAGGGCCGCCTGGTGCGCTCAGGGGTGGTTTGTCTCCCTGAGAGCTAGGCCGGTCGCTGTGACTCTGTGATTTTCATTCTTGAGGAGAAAACAGCGGCGGGTACCAAGCAGGCAGTGAGAGCTTCTGGAACCAGGAGCCCTAACCAGACAGAGCCCAAGAGAGAGGCAGCGGATGGAGACGCCAGCCACCAGGGCCCAGAAAGGGAAACTGCCTAGAGAAAGGGACAAGAGTGTGATCAGGACCTGCGGGGGTATAGGAACAGGGGCCCAGGTCTCCAGTTTGGTTGTGGTTTTCCGCAGAGCGAGAGGAAGTGCTTGATGGAGAAGAGTCCAGGGGGCTTGGCAGGTGTGTAAAGCCAACTGAGAGTCATGCTGTGGCCTTTGGGGAGCTGTTCTTTTGTGTCACAGGGGAGGACTTGTGCTCAGCCTGGACCCCCGTGGCTGGGCCTGGCTTCCTGGGACTGCCCAGAGCTTGCTCTGAGAGTCACCTTGGCCCAGGAGGAATCTGGGCCCTCGTATTGACACACACACAGCGGACATTCCCGACACTCCCTCCCAGCAGAATATTGGTCTTCCAATAAATTTTACAACCAGAGCATTGCAAAGGGATTGCAAAGCAAAAAGGCACAGATGAAATGGAAATATGAATGTGGTACGTCTTGGTGCCAAGATTGAAAAGGTGGATATTTTCATTCAGTCAACAAGTATTCATTGAGAACCTAACCACATGCCAACAACTAGGCTAGGAGGCCAAAAGTCAAACTAAAAATGCAGGTTGTGATAAAGTGAGATGAGGGAAATGGGTACTGAGGGGGAGAAAAGTGGGGAAGAAACCCACTTTACACCAGGTGGAAGAGGAACAGGGTCAGCTTCAAGTTGAAGGAGTGTACCTTCCAAAAGGGGAGGGAATATTCTAGGCTGAGGAACTCTGCCCAGTCAGTGAGGCTGGAGCCCGTGGGTGGGAGGGGAGTGGAGGGAGAAGGGCAGAGAGACTAGATTTGATTTCAAGTGCAAACAGAAGCCACCGAAGGGTTTTGAGCAGGGGAATGGTATGATCTGTTTGAAGACCACTCTGGAAAGAAAAAATCAGGAGGCTGCTGGAATGGTTGACAGGAAACGGGGAGGTAGCCTGGACTAACAGCGCCAGGTGATCAGTATTCAAGATTATTCTGCAATTATCCTGGGAAAATGGACAGGCCTCGCCAAGAGGGGAGGGAGAAATGAAGAACACGGACTTGGCTCCTTGGCGGTGCCTTCATACTGAGATGGGGATGGCCAGGGCCGGAAGTGGGAGGGGCCGGAAATCATCAGTTGAGTCGTGTCATGTTCACAGGACGTGCAAAATGTGTCCCAGGTCATTTGACCTGGAGCTCAGCGGAATGTTCGTGACTGGAGATATAATTCTTGGTGTTATCTGTAGAGAGGTGGAATTTGAAATCATAGTAAATGAGAATGCGAGAGAAAAGAGGACGCCCCAGGGCCGAGTGTCCTCAATGCATAGAGTTAGGCCTTGATGGAGGAGGAAGATGCAGGAAAGGGAACAGGAAGGTAGGAGGAATTATGGGAGCCTGGGTATAAAGAACTGAAGGTACGGCTTCATAATAACAGTACTCGACTTTGAGTATCTAAGACTGATTGCAGACCAAGGCTTGCTTGCAACAACAAAGAAACCTGTATTTATGTAGCACTTAACAGTTTTTACAGCATCACGTATTCATTAGCTAAGCCTTTAAGTCAGAGAGGTGCCAAGTTAGGGCTTTTCACAGAGTAACAGTGTTCTAGGAAAAAAGCTGGGATTTGGAGAGGCCCAGGTTTGTTTCAGCTTACAAATTTTGGCTGGGTGTAATGGAGCAATTAAGTGAGCTTCCCTGAGCCTCAAGCTCCTGATCTGTAAATTGGAAACAACTGCCCTCCTGTACTGGGTGGGTGTGTGGATCACGTGGGAAGACTGTGAAAACTCTTTGTGACAATATTGTGAGTCCTTAGTTCTAGAACAGAATGTTGGTGAGGAAGACTGAAGGCTTCATACCTCGGTAGGTACCACTTGAGCTATTAAAAAGAGGGGATGGGATTGGTGTGGTGGCTCATGTCTATAATCCTAGCACTTTGGGAGGCCTAGGAGGGAGGGATCACTTGAGGCCAGGAGTTTGAGACCAGCCTCCCATCTCTAAAATAAATAAATGAATTAGCTGGGTGTGGTGGTGTGCTTCTATAGTCCCAGCTACTTAGGAGGCTGAAGTGAGAGGATCACTTGAGCCCAGGAGTTTGAGGTTGCAGTGACTTATGATCACGCCACTGCACTCCAGCCTGGGCAACAGAGTGAGACCCCGTCTCTAAAAAAAAAAAAAAGTGAGGCTGACAACTGACAACCACTTGTTACAACTCTTATAAAGTAAACAAAAGAACACATTAATGGTTTTAAAAGATGTGGTCTGTTAGTGAATCCCGACCTAATGTTGACTACATTTCAGTTCTGATGATTCCAAGTTCGTCCTTGGTGTCACATGCAGGGCTGCACTGGTTTCCCCAGGGAGAGTGGGTAATGAGGAGTGCCAGTGTTCTGAGGCCGTATCAGACCAGCAGTGTCTCTCCTATGCTGAGCCTTTCTGTTCCATCAAGCAACGCTGCCACTTGGGGCCGGCAGAAGGGCTCCCAAACCTAGTTTTGCTGCAGTCCTCAGGGAGCCTGTGATGCACAGGGTGTCCCCAGCAATGTTCTTATATTCTGGCCTGCCAGGTCTGGGGCATTCACTGGGACTTAGGGTGTGGGGCCAATGGGATCCAGATATGACACAAATCAGAGGGGGTGACTGGCAAGCTACTGCCAGAGAGACACAGAGGGAAATCTCAGCTCCCAAGGAATCTTAACACAAGAGGAAAGAGACTAAATGAGAGACAGTTTCAAGGTGGGGCCTGTGGGAGGCGCTGTGCTGTGTGTGGCTTCCCCATCGGATCATTACCAGGCCCAGCCCGGGCAGCCTCCTGCCTGATGTGTGGCCCACTGAGCTGCCCAGTCCTTGGCCAGTCCTGAGCTGACGCGCTGGATCCGTGCAAGCAGCACTTCACGCTCTGCGGCCGACGACAGGGATGACAGGCCCCCTTTCCTACCTGCTCAGCACCTTAAAGGTTCCCTTCTCCCTTTGTGCCAACAGCCCTTGCATCCCCTTGGAAGCCCTTCCTCAGCTACTACAGATGTTACCCCATGGACTTTGCAGTCATGCAAGGAAGGGACTAAAAGATAAAATCTTGATACTACACCCAATATTATTTTGTAACTCAGAGAGCAAATAATGAGAGTATGAGGCAAAAAACTCCACTGGGCTCCTCCGTCTACACAGGGCCTTTCACCTGGTGTGTGCATGTTATCCTGCCTTTTCAGTCTGAGCCCACTTTAAGGTTTGTGTCTGTGATCTGTACAGCACCTGCCTACTTCACATCAAACCAGAAGCGCAAAAGCAACTTTTTTTCTTCCAAGGGGTGTGAAAGTAGTGGCTTGCCTGACAAGAGAGCTGTGAGCACCCAAGTTCAGACACTGGAGAGTTTATCGGGCCAGTTTCACATGGGCACCAAGTCAAGCACTCAGAATCAAATGTTTTCACACTCAGAACTTTCTCCAAACACCATAAAATAGTGTTCGTGAATAATTCCCATTTTGGGGAGGGGTCGCAACTTTAGATTCTTAAAAAAAAAAAACAAACCATACAATCAATCATTCGTAACAAAGCAAAACTTTCACACTTTTTAAAAGAAAATGATCTTTCAAACATACAATCCCAAATTGGGTGTTTTCTGTGCATTAATCTTTATAAAAATGAAGTTTGCTACCACACTGCTGGGCTCTAAGGGGTGTTTACACAGAGTGTGCAAATGAGGCAACTGGATCTCTTTGCAAATGAAGATCAAAGTCAAAAAGAAAAAAACAATTTCACTTTATTTTAAAGACAATGATTGGCATACAGAAGGTATGCACTAGCATAAAATAAACTTTCATGAAAAGCATTAAAATCCATTATAAATTAATTTATTAAATAGGTATTTGGTATATGTGATGGTTTTATTAGATATTACTCTTATTTATTGCCAACCCCTCCCCCAAAGTCAAAACAAATCAGAAAATCTCATAACTCCAATTTACACTAAATAATTTATTTTCCCAAAATGTGTATGTGTTCTGAGATGTGACACATGATACAGTTCAATTGGTCATTCTCTATCAATCATAATATGACAGGACACAAGAGGCTAAAAATGGCTCATCATAATTTATTTTATGTTAAAATGTACAGCTTTTTTTTGTTTTTTTTTTTTTTGTTTGTTTTGTTTTTTTGAAGTGACTGACTAAAAAGTGAACAGATAAATACAAGAGTGTCGCTGGCTCCTATTTTATACAAGGATTACGCCTCTCCTGCTTGGCCCTTACTGTCACCCTGTACAGGTACAAAGGCTACAAAAAAGGAAGCAATATAAACAGACACAAATAACTTTTTTGCTTTTTTACATGCGATTTGTAAGCTTAGTTTGAGCTATTCACAAGCTACTTTTCTATTTTTCCTTAAAAAATAACTCCAATATTTTATAAAGATAGAAAAATCTACAGATGGAATGAAAATGTAAAGTTAGAGGCATTTCCATAAAATAGCAACTTTACACCAAATTCACTATTTTTTTTTAAATCCTGCCAAGTATTTGGACATATATGAAATGTTTCAAAACCTGACAGATAAACACTGAGATATGCTTCATTCAATAAACAGAAGTCTGCATTTATAAAACAGAAAGCTGCCTTTTTTCCCCAAAGAAATCTGTCACCAAAATGGAAAAGGGTCTCAACTTTACACCAAACATTTAGCAATAAAACCCTTTTGACTAACCAAATGGGAATAGCTTTTATAGCTCTTTACAGTTTTATAATTAACAAAAATATAGTATTTTTTTCAAACCCTCAAATTAGGGCACCCTAATCAAGGCAAAAAACTTAAGAAATGGCTTACTGTTAGCACAACACTTGTACAGTACTACAAAATGCACTGTCACTAACAAAGACATTAGCGGCATGCTGAAGTGTCACCTTAAACAAAATATACAATAACTGAAATGCTAAAGGCATTTACATGGAGTGGACAAGGAAGGAAAAAAAAAGCTAGGTTCAATATTATAACAGATAATTTGGGGGGGGGCTTGATATCCACATTGTTTAATGGAAGCAGGCACCATAAGTGGCTGCCTCCAAAGTGTAGTCCAAAGAGAGGCCTTCCTTTGCAGAGAATTTTATATAAAAGTAACAGAAACAAAGGTACCAAAAAAGAAAAAGGAAAAAAGAAAAACAACTTGTATAAGGCTTTCTGCTGCATACAGCTTTTTTTTTTTTTTTTTTTTTTTTTTAAATAAATGGTGCCAACAAATGTTTTTGCATTCACACCAATTGCTGGTTTTGAAATCGTACTCTTCAAAGGTATTTGTGCAGATCAATCCAATAGTGATGCCCGGTAGGTTTTGTGGACTGCCCACACTGTCTACCTTCTCATGTAGGACCCATTGAGAGACTGTTTGGACATGCCTGTGTTCATGTAGCCGTGATGTCCGGGGGCCGTGTACATCATGTTACCATGGGGCGGGGTCTGCATTGGCTGCTGGGCATATGGCTGGGTTCCCATCATGCCCATCTGCATCTGCATAGGGTATTGGGCTGTTTGATTCATGTAGCCATGATTGCTGTGGTAGCCACTGTTCATCATCGGCTGGGACATGCTGTACCCATTCATGGCATTGAGAGTGTTCATGTTCATGTTCACGGAGTTGACGTTGTAGGCTGGGGCTGGCATCAGGTTCACACTCATGTTCATGCCTCTTTGCATTGTTAAAGTCCGTGCGGGACCCTGCATGGCTACAGTCTGGGAGCGCCCATAGATTTGTGACTGATGGGTGGCAGCGGCTGGTGACAAGGAAGCCGACTTGGTTCTCATGGAGACGTGCCCCTTGCTGGCAATCTGGGTTTGCAGTCTTTGGCTGTGGGAGATGCCAATATTTGATGCAGCCATGTTCCGTTGCAAAAGAGGCGGTGGCAGATTCATCGGAGGAGGAGTCAGGTTGGGGGGTGGGGTCATTGTAGCTTGTGCTTGGGGTCCCCCAGGGACGGAGTGTGGAGACTGAGAAAGCTGAACAAGCCCTGTGTTACTTAGTGGTGTGGACAAAGAGGCACTGTTTGCATAGGAAGTCACAGCAGCGGAATGGCTGTAAGGCAATGAATGATCAATAAGTGTATTAGTTAACTGCTGTAGTTTGGCAAGGCTGAAGGTGGCTGACGGCTGTGGGTAATGCCCAGCCCCAAAATCACTCTGACCCATCCGCTCGTATAAGCCAATGTTGGCATTGCCCGCCTCGGGGATCTCGGCCAGCTGCATGGGCGGGGTGAAGTTAGCAGCCATGCTGCACGGGGCCAGCTGCTGGCTGCTGCTCGGCGGCCGCTCCACCACGCAGCCTTGAGGAGACTTGACGCTGCAGGTCGGGGGAGAACTGATGCTGGTTTGCTGCAGCATGCTGCAGCTCCCGCTGATGTTGGACATCTGCTGGGTGACAGCGCAGCTGCTCTGTGTCAGATTGCTGGAGGTGAGGTTGCTATAGGAGCAGCTGTTCTGTGAAGAGCCATTTCCACAAATGCTGCCACCCATAGTAGAATCATAGCTGCTTGGGTTTTCGTAGTTCTCAGTTGTGCTCTCGATACTGCCCAGGTCACTAAATCCGCTGTCTACGACTTGCTGTGAATGGTCGGAAACTGATGGAACATCCATCATTGGACTGGTTTCCATGTTCTGCAAAGATGGCACTGAGATGGCACTTTGATCTGGGCTGATTTGGGCATAGCTGTTTTCCAGGGCAGGGACACTCGGGCTGTTGACAGAACGTACTGACTGGCCAGGATGGGAATGGACGGACGAAACTGGGCTGCTGTGGTCTGACTGTTGGCAATCGTCCAGCGTGGCGGCAATCTGTGGACTTTGGTCTGCATGGGTGTAGTTCTGGAGGCTTCTACAGGCCTCTTGAGTCTCAGCACAATCCTGAAAGGTGTCGTCCTGCTCACTGTTCTCCTGGGTCAAAGACTGAACTGCCTGGACGGTCTCAGAGTCGATTTCCATGTTTGCCGTGTTTCCCTCTTTGAACTCGGAGTCCACTTCTTTGCTGCTCTTTTGGTCCCGCTTCTGTGCCTGTTCTTCTGGGGGCTCCTCATCAGATTCAGGAGCAGCTTCGGCATCCCCAGCAAGCTCCTTAGGCTCACGGTTACAAGAAGCTGCGAGGTCTACACCACAGTCCATCAAGACCTCTGGGTTCGAACGACTAGGCTGAACACTAACGTCTAAAAAAGCCTCCTGGTTTTCCAGTACTTCTTTGAAGGCTTCTCTTGGGAGTTCTTCCTTTTCCGTCTCGGCAGACTCCATGTGACTGTCGTCTTCATCGTCCGCATCGTGATCCTCATTGTGAGATGGCTCTTCGTCCTCTTCCTCCTCCTCCTCGTGATCATCCAAATGCACGGGGTCTTCTTTCTCCATGGAGATTTCTGGTTCCTCTTTTTCCTGACGTTTAGCACCATCTGGGTCTTTTTCTACATTTCCTTCTTCTTCTTCCTCCTCTTCCTCTTCCTCCTCCTCTTCTTCCTCCTCCTCTTCCTCCTCAGGTTTGATTAGATCGTCTTCTGGCTTTTCACCTGGTGATGTGTTTGGACTCACAGGTGCACACGCTTCCTCCCTTCTGTTTTCATCCCGGGGCAGCAGGGCTTCCACGGTTTCCTTGACCTCCTCCTCAATCCCGATGGGAGTGGGGCTGGTTTTGCCTTCTGAAGTCTCCTTCTGTTCTTCCACTGTTACCTGCTCATCAGGTTCCATGGGCGTTTCTGGTGGGGTGTACAGATTCAGTTTAAATCCAGTCTTCCTCTCTTTGTTTTGCCTCCACTTAGACAGACCACGCTTTGTTCCTTTTGGCCACGCTTGTTTGCACTTTAGAGGTTCAGGATTGTCTTTACTGCCTTCTTTCAAGTTATTTGCATCATCATCCATATTGTCTTAGTGAAGAGACAGGGGAAGGAAGAAAAACAAAGTCTTAGAAAGCATAACTATAACTTGAATTCACTCCTTTAAATTAATTAGCAAACACTGCTTTCAATTTAGCATTTTAAGAGCCGATGGTAAAGACATAATCAAGACTAATGTAGAATAATATTGTGGTATAAACCCAGTAAATAACTTAGGCCTGGGAAAAGAACATATTGGGAACACATGGGTACAGGCAACTATAATAAACTTATTTGAGTTTCACAAACAAGACACTCTCAGATGCAAAACCTGGAGTTTCACAGTGTAAAAAAATCAATTTGAACATTTACAAATTAGGAAATACAGAGGAAAATGATTAATGTTAGCTTATATCCAAATCATCATTATATTGGAAAAATGACTAGAAGCCTAACTCGCATATCCTACCCTGAGAAAGTAAACTTCTGTTTGTGGACATTTACTGGATTTAAATGATCTCAGATGGCACTATTTACTTTGATTTGAATGTTCTCACTGGGATAAAAATCAACTATGTATCTCTGAAACAAATAAATAACTAAATATCCAAAACAAATGCATCTGTAATCATCATCATTTTTAGGATCATTATTTTTGCACGACACAAACTGCAATGTAATTACTATCAAATTATTCAACATTTAAAATACAGGTATTCTTTTTTATCACTAATTCTGTCCACACTGAATTTTGGACCAGTATGCTGCTCAAATGTAAGGTTTGAATATTAAAGACAATTAGAAACAAACCATAATCATGAAGTTCATTTCAGTTCAGCTTACTTTATTTTTCCTGTACCTATATGAACATGTGAATATAAATATGTATACATTTACATAAATATAAGCAAATAAGTGTGCACATAAATATACGTATAAAACACCCAAGTATTCTTAAGACCTCTAGAAAATTAAAGGGCATGCTAACCTCCTAGAATCAGTGGTCAATTTAAGAGAAAAGCTTTATAAAGAACAATAGCCTTATTAGAAATACTATTTGGGAAAATAAAAATAAGATCTAACAGTCAACATGGAACAGATATCCTTTTTGCCAGAATGCAGTGATCTCTAATTCCATCAGCACACAGCAGGGTAAGCTGTAGCTCCTTTAGGTAATGAAAGGATTACAGGTAAACTTACCTGCAAGCACCACATTCAAACTGACTAGCTGAAACGCATATGCGACGTAGAATGGTTCCTGCAGGAGTTACAAGAACTATGCCTGAGTTAACAGTCATCTTAGGACATTTCTATTCACAATGGCAGGTAAGAGCCATGCCAATGCCCCTAAATACCACATTCTCATTCCACATGTTACTGGACCTACCAGCTTTCACAGGAACACCTCCCTAAATCACAAGATGGGTTTTCTGATAATTATTTTTAAGAAAGAAGACCCTGAAAGGAATCAGGTACAATATGGCCATCTAGAATTTTTAAAGGTAAATATAAGGTAAATGACACAAAGTGGAGAATGAAGGCGGTGATAATTCACTGATAGGCTCCTTAGAAGACAGCCAAACAGTGGAAATTAGGCTCAATTTCCACCAAAACCAAAAAAACCTCTCACTGCACTGTAGTTCATTATATGCTCATTTGTTGAAAAAAAAAAAACCAAAGAATAAGCAAGGCTTGGTGTCTCTATACCTAGGGTAAGATGTCATTCCCTCAGCAAAATTATGCATGCAGCAAGAGTGTTCTTGCTAATTAAGAAAGTTAAGAAGATGCTTACTTATGTTCTGAAAACTGTGGCTTTTCAAAAGCTAAGTGATACCTGTGGTTGCCAGGAAAATGAGATGGCCTGTTCACCAGACTGGAATTAAGTTTTGAATAGTCTTTTCAGCTGTAGAGTGACCGTCCCATAAATCCTCATGATACAGCTGGGGACACAAGTTCCCAACCTGACAGGCGTGGGATGGTTGCTTCTAAATGCAGTATTTTTTTAGAGGAGGAGGTAGGGATGTCCTTGCCAACTTAAAAGGAAGGATGGTTTCCTGACTTCAGTGTTATTCTGTATCACCAAAGCTAATACTGATGGTGTGGGTAAGTTCAGACGACTCTTGATAGCAGTAAATACTAAGATACTACTGATTATAAGGTAGATCATTAATTTACTAATATTTGTTTTCCAGGAAAAAAGAAATCATCACATTCAATGCTCACATTGATAATAATATATATCTTGATTTCAGGAATACTAAATGTGGAATAAAATACATATCAGAATCAAGGAAATGCAATGTGTCTCTCACTGACAGACTGCAAATTTTGGGGATGAGCTAATTTCTGGAAAGTAAGATGGACCCATCTAGAGGAGCGCTCTGGCCTTAGAAGTTGTTTAACATAAAATACAATTGCAGGAAGAAGGGCTAGGCGCTTTTATGGATGAGAAAGGACAGAGGAGCACTGACTCCGGTGCATGAGTGCCACCTCACAGGAGCCTGCTCGTCGGCAGCAGGTCACACACAGACATTCACAGGGGTAAGGTTTTTATAATCGCTCTACTTACTTCTACAAGGGTCAGCATTCTTAAAGCAATGATTGTCTCTTCCTTCCTCTTCGTCTGTTTGTCTTTTCTTCCCAGGTTGATGTTGGAATGCTTTTCTCAGGACTGGCTTCCTGCCATCTTCCTCCACTTCAATCTCACAGGTAGGCTCCAGCTGTGGCATTGGCCTCTCTTCATCTGAGTTGTCGAAGGGCTCATTCAGTACTTCTGTCGTCTCAGAAATGGTCTCTGTTGTTACACTGCTGTTGATCCGCCTGCGTTTACGACCCCTTTTCTTCTTCAGTACAAAAGGCCTCTGAAATTAATTCCAAACATAATACATAAGAGCTCATGAGAAATTAAATGGTTGAGTTGATATGCAGCAAACATGTACTTGAACGCGTGTCTGAGAATCTTACACGTAGAGACTTCTGTAATGCCTTTGTACTTAACCTTCCATTTGATGTTTAACATCCCTCTCGGGCTCCAACTACACAGGCAAGTGTTTTCCAAATAAAACAGTTGTTTACTCAAGCAGATGCTTTGAGAGGGAACATCCTAGCAGCTTGACTGGAGATTTTAAAAGCTCAGCTTTGCTTTCCTAGCATATATTTTCCAAGTGGTACTTGCTGGCTTCAATATCCTGCACGTCATAGACATCATGGTCATCACAGATTCCACTGTTTCTATAAATGGTGCCGTATTAACCAGCCATCAGCTTATTCATTTAATATTTAGTAACTGTTCAAAGAGTGCCCACTACATGCACAGCATTATGGGAAATATGATACAAGACTAGCCTCCTTGTTCCCAGTTCACAGGACTTCAGGAACTACAAAAAGGAAAGGGTACTTGAAGAAAGCATCACTCTACTGCTAAAATGTCAACAGAGTTATGTGTTGGTAGCTGCTCAGATGTGAGCAACTGATAATTTTGCAAAATATTTTAACCTAGAAGGCATCTAAAAAACTTAAAAGACGTGCAAGATGTCTTATTTATAGAAGAAATATCTTTCATTTTTTAAATTAAATTAAATTTTTTTTTTGGAGACAGGGTCCAGCTCTGTCACCCAGGCTAGAGTGTGGTGTTGCAATCATAGCTCACTGTAGTCTCAAACTCCTGGGCTAAGAAATATTTTTGTACATTTTGCACTTAAGGTTGCTAACAAATGACTCTCCATAATTGCAGTTAGAAAATATTTTCCCAAGCAAAACAGTATCTAACGATATAAAATCCAAATAGAGGAATAACAGGTAGATTTGCTGCTAAAATGTAATCTGTCAGTAATTGTTGCCCGCCCCCCCAAATGTTGAAAGTACACTGCAAAGAAGGTTCCATATGCTCGGTCAAATGCCAACCTCCAGGTAAACTGTATCTAAGAATTAATTATTGTGTCTTTTTTAACACCCTGAATGTTCACTGAAAAACACATATAAGCCTGGTAATCATATTCTGTAATTTAACATTTATAATTATTAATCCTTCCAGCCTACCTGCCCTCCCCAATCCACTAGAATCTTCCCAAATATGAGTGTAGCCAATGTAAAGAACTGATTTTCTTTAGGTCGAGTCCATTTATGTGGCAGTAGCCCACATCGTGCCTTGGATGATTCTGGTTTTTGATGTTTTTAGAACAAGTTTCTTTCGTTATATGCATAATACATGAATATATTCTCCTTGTAAGGAATTAAAACAGTATTCATAAGCCTGCAGTCCATTTTATGGGATGTTCTTTCCTGCTACCTCCCCACAGATAGCCTCCACGAGGAGACTGCCAAGCTTAGAAGAAAGAACAGTGAGCGGGAAGTTAGAACAGCAAGTTCCCTGCCCAGACGCTGTGCTGGATGGCCTTAGGCTCAGCCTTAACTCTTACAGTGCTATCTATCGATCTTGGCTATATTAATAGTATTTAGCCCCTCTCTATGTCCCAGATACTGAGGACAAAGAGATCATATCTGGGTGAGCAATTACCTAAAGACAAAGTCGATTCTTCTCTTTCTGTGCCACGGGAGATGATAAGGTAGGTCTAGAGAAACCACCACGCTACTATGACATGAGAAATTTCAATAATGGGTAGTTGGCCACCAATGCAAACCATCACTGCCAAAATCAAGGGTCTAAAACACGTTGTAGCCATTCTATGCCAAAAACAAGACAAAGAAATGGCATCAGGAGCAGTGGACTTGGCATCCTGAGTGCTCACGTGGTTCTGGTTCGGTCTTTAATGAGTCAGGTTACCTTGGACAAGTCTCCTGGCCTCTCTAGGTCTTGAAGGGTGGTTTTAAATGCTCTCTGGGGCCCCTTTCTGTTCCTGTAACCTGACTTACTCTACTCCTGCAGGCCAGCAGGTGGCAGTGACTACTAGACTAGGAAGCTGGCCTGTCCCTGGTTTCCTGTCATAGCACTAACAAACCTCAAAAAGTAAACACAATCATGACGGTAAGATAAACGATTATGATATACGATCAGTGGGACTGGGTACACATAAACTACATCCAAAGAACAGAGAGTGAAACAGATACTAATAGATAGAATGTTTGCAATGACAAATAGGATTTGATTGAAAGAGAGACTGAAAATCTAAACAGACACATACCTTTCTCTTTATGGCAACTGACTGTGGTTTAGTCAATCGTGGGGGAGAGCTCTGAATATTTTCTTCTTCCTCTTCCTCTTCTTCCTCCTCTTCATCCTCTTCTTCTTCTTCCTCCTCCTCCTCCTCCTCCTCCTCTTCATCTTCTTCCTCCTCTTCCTCTTCTTCACTGCTCTCTTTAGACAGCTCCATCAGCTGTCCTCGCTCCCCTGCCACTGGCCGGCTCTCCGGGGAATGCAAATATTTATTTTTCGATTGTACTTTTGCAGGTGATTGCCTACTGTTAGCTCTAGATGACAGGATCTCTTGTTCCTCCTTTTCCCAGCAGCTAGCTTGTTCCATCAGCCGCTCAGCCTACAGGGGAGGGTAAAAATGGAGGCTGGTGAGAGGGTAGTTATGCAGCCAGAGCCTCTAGAGATCAATGGCAAAGGGGCCCTGAGTTAGTTCTGATCAGGACAGTCAGCCAGCCACGCAAATTCCAGCTGCATCATCTCAGGACCCTTTCGTATCAGTTAGGATAACAAATCAAAGAAGATTGGGTTTCATGGGATATTTAGCAGTATTAATGATGCAGCGAATTGATTTGAGTCCTTTATCACTACATTACATGCTCACTGGCATGGAGCACTTTAAGCAAGTTCATAAACACAAAGAATCGATTGACATTGCAGCCTTGGAGCTCAACATCAAATCTGATCTGATTACATGCTCTCAGTAGTGAAAAATGCTGCTTTGTGATCAATGATAAATGTTTCATTTTTCATACTCAATTCAATAAAATTATCATGTCTTACCATGCAACCTCAGTTAGAATAAATTAGTGCCATATCATTTCACAAGCTAGCTCTACATAACCAAGCTTTTGACAATGATGTTAATGACTTTCTTAGCTTAAGAATGCTACAAGATTGAAGTTACACAACTTAGAATAATAAAGACAATCAATACCTCTTTCTCAGCTTCTCGCTCTTCTTCAGAAACTGCAGCATTAGAAATTAAAATTGGGGTCCACCTCAGACTTTCTGGATCAAGTTCATTGGCTCGGGAACAGGTTTTCAGCTTTTCCATGTGGCCCAATATCAACTTTTCCCTTCTAATGATGACAAATCTGTAATGTGATGAGGCAGAATAAAGTGCAATTAAAAGCTGAAATTTCATTTCACCTTCACGTACTGACTTATGCTCACACTAATATTACCTGTGTTTGGAAAAATCAGAAAGCACATTAAGGAATGGGTACAGCAAATTGAAATACAACCTGCAAAAGGTGTCATTTCATGTTTTCTTTTAAGGAGAAAAGTTTTAATAATACTGTTAGGGGACCTCTTATCTTTAACTAGAATGAATGGTCCCTAACCTCCAGGGACCCTGTCTGGTGTAGGATGCTTGAAAGGTAGCCCAGGGTCCCAGTGCTCACCTGCCATCTCTCTTATCAATCATGTGGAGGTGCTGCAGAGTGGTGGCAATGTCGTGTGGGCACATGCCCGTAGCTCTGCTAATCGCCTTGATGCTGATGTGCCGCTCATGGTGGTGGTAGAGATATTCTAAGATGACACTCTTCCAATAGGCCAGGTAGGAGAGACGACCCAGATCAGAGAGTGGCTTTTCAGGAGACCCTGCTTGGCCTTCTCTTCTAGAAAGCAAATAGCCTAAGGCAGAAAAAAAGTAAAAGTCCACCTCACTGTGGTGTCCCCAGAGTGTGGACCAGGAGCCACTAGAAATAATATGAGTAGCAACAAGGTAAAAACATCACACCAGAGAAGCACATTCATTTTATGTCTGCAGACTCTGCCCAGTTACGGCGATTTGATCTCCATGAAGTTTACGCTTCTGATTCTTTTACAGTGACACTGTAAGACAATTCACAAAGCGAGCGGCAGCATTCCAAACAAACATGGTGGCATATTTAACAAAGACTAAAAGCTAAGGTTGAAGACATTACTTCTGGTAAGTCTCAACATCCAAGTCTCCCACCAGCTTCAGATTCTTTCAAAAACGAAACATCAGGCACTTGCTCAGAAATCCTGTTGAGGGACCACCCCAAACATTAATGGGCAAGTTGTTTTCCACAGGAAGGACCTAATGACCCTTTGACAGCTGGGTCTTAATAAAAGAGAAGGGCCTCTGTTGACTCAGAGTCTATATTGCTTGTTACATTTAACTAGCGGGTTGATCTGAAGCTTTGTTTTAGGACTAATAAAAGAATGTCTTTCAAGTCAACTGCTGCAACTCACACATCAGTTCCACTAGCGTTATTTTCACCTCTTTCATGGAAATTAATTTATAATCCAACCCCACAATGTTGCTCCTACAAATTAAAACAAAACAAAACAAAACAAAAACTCCTTAGAACAACCTATGTCATGTATGCTCAGAAAAGTCCTCAAGCATGTTAAGCTTTGAACGCATTCTACAGCATTACTGTGAAGGTTCCTTGGCAAAGGAACTTTAAAATGGAAAAAAAAAAAACCACCTTTAAATCCACTTGAAGGTAATGAATGAAAGCTGGCGGCTGTCTCGGTAATTAAGAGCCACTTATGGGGTAGAGAAGAAATGCTATAAACTAATGATGTCTACCTTGCTCTAATTATCTATTTCAACAGCCTCACCTTCACGAACTTCCTAAATTTAAACAAACATCAACCACATACAGTAGGTGGCAGCAATTACAAAATCATGCTGCTCTGTAAACCACCCAAATCTCCAGCATTTTTCTTCTTTATCTACATTTCCAAAATGGCTGCATTCTTAAGAATTTTCTCAATTTTAGTTTTTTTGTGAAAGAAGAAATCAATGCCTCTGATGCGTTTTCCTGCCTTTCAGAATCACTGCAAATACAGTGATGTAGAAATATAGAACAAGAAATCCAACCTGAACCCTAGAGGGGTATAATCACAGCATTTTGCATTTTGATGGCCTTAATCTGAATGCCATTATAAACAATAGGCATAAATTTAACTTTAGGTTTTGCTGAAGTCTTTTGACTTATTTGTCTCTTTAACTCATGTTTAAGTGCAAAGTATTTGACTGAATGCAAACAAGCACCACAACATTTTACAGTCTAACCATTGTCGACACGTAATTCGGCTGCAGGCTGAGGCTTTCAATAGCAGTGTGTCAGGAATGCTAACATCGATGGCCACCGTGCCAAAGCCAGCCCATATTGTGTCCTGTCAACATAGAGAAGAGCTCTCTCTGTTGCTAGAGTACGAAGCGAGCCCAGACCTCAGAATACAGATAATTGGCACATCCGTCACCTGCCTCCTAAGTGCTTGGCACATGCTGAGAAATGTGCTCAGTCAGCTGGGGGTCCCAGCCCTGTATTCCTGGGGGGACAGAACCATAGAACCATCGATATGGAACTATCCCCTTTTGTCCATGAGATCCCACAATTAAAAATCCCCTGCAGTGACTGCTGAAGTCCCCAGGCCCTCACTGGTACTTCCTTGAACACCACAGCTGGGGACAGACCCCCCACCCTCAGTCTAGCAGAAAGATTTCTGTACAGGCAAAGTGTCGGAAGGTGGAAAGGGCCTTCGCTACCTCACGTCCCCCACTACAGTGGGCTACCTTACCCGGGAAGCACGTGTGTTTCTTTGTTCTGTCTTCCCTTCCCACAATCCCTACTATGGAAAGAGGAAGCAGCCAGAATCTCGAAAAACCGTACTTTACACAGCTGTTCAAGTTTTCATGCCCTGAAGTAGTACGGATACACCTTATCAGGAGCCTTAATGGGTTAGGCCACTCAAACCAGCAGGCAGTTTGTGGTCTGTGGAGAGCATTTAGGCATAAACCTTTTGGCACCTGCTACTCTTCCCACATTAAGTGGCCTCTCCTGGGACGCAGGCTGCAGTCTGTGACTGATAACTGCCTGGAAGAGTCCTGAGGCCCAAGGAGAACAGGAGAGGGGGCAGCAGGGTGAGGAGCCCTGACGAGCTTGGGTCCACTGAGCCCACTGTTCTGTCCCAGCAAACGCCCTTGGACTGCGCTAGGAAAGGCTGGAAGCAGGGATGTTGCAATACCTGCCAAGAGGTGAGGTTTTCCTGGGTGCTAGGGAGGAAGCAGGGAGGACCGAATGCAAAGCCAGGCTCCCACCAGAACACAGCAGGCGGGCTTTCAGGAATGGCATGCACCAACACTGCAGGCCACACAAGGCCACCACCTGGCAGGGAGTTCTTCCTTTTCCTCTCCAGAGAGTTGCCTTTGTAGACAGATGATCCATTAGGATAAAGAAGGAACGTACAACGTGGAAGGAACTAACATTTACACCAAGAGCCATTTTTAAGTCCACAAAGTCTGCTCCTGAAGGAGAAAGTTTGGAGTCTAAACAGAATCCATCAGAACAATCAAAATGAGCAAGATGTCTGGTTCCTTACCAGTTAAGTGAAATCACTCGTAATATGTTAAACCATACAACTTAGGAGAAAAGTGTTCATCATGTCTACTCTATTTGTGCACTAGGTTGATTGAGGACTGAATTCCAATTTTACCTGTAGTAGGTACTTCCCCTCAAAGAAACTGCAGCTGGTGGCACTTCACTACTCTGACCTTCATAGCATGGGATGTTTTGTTTCTGCCTACTTTTTCCAGGCTCTTCAAAGCATAATTATGATATAGCCCATTAAAAGAATAATTTTGGTAAGAACATTTTACTTATTAGCAAGTAATTATAGAGATGTGGTGGTTTAAGTTACAGCTCTTAAATTTAACTTACCAAAAAGATTCCAAATAATTGATCTAAGATGCAGGGAAATAAAAAGCACTTATCTTGGAAGCCGGTGTATTATCCTGAAGCATCTGAAACAAGTACAACACACCCCTGGTGAATAGATTCCCATGATGCTCTAACACTTCTCCTTAACTCAGGATACTTTCAATCAGAAAAATCTCAACTATCCCTGGGGAAACCTGGCTGTTTCAGATGGAAAACAAAGTGATGTTTGGAGGACAAATCCCAGTAGCTGCAGTATAATTAATCGCTGGTGAAATTATTCCCTTGAACTTGTCTGTGAGCCAGGTGCTGGCGCACAGCACTTACTGTGAGTGGGAGCCTTGTAATTGAAAACTGAGAGGCCCATAAACCCCTTACCCACATCAACTATCCTGATCCTAGCGAGAGCAGGCTTCCTCTTCTGCTTCACTGGAACTATTTATCCTGGGGACAGGGAGCTTGGAGTTGCAGTGTGTGGGCCACAGACTTAATTCAAAAGATTACCAAGGTGTTTGCTTAAAAGGACAGGAAGAATAACGTGATGTCTACAAAAAGTAAGCATTTCTAAGCTGTACTGCATGGAGCCCAAATGTACCTCATCTCTGTGAAAGCTGACCTACTTGTAGTAAGAGAATTCCCTGGAGTTCAAAGCGGTTAACTCCCTCCCAGGGGGAGGAAAAAAAGTGGTAGAGATTTGCCTTCATGTAGACAGATCCATTAGGATAAGGAACTATCCAGACAAGGTCAAGATTTGTTTTTGCAGGCCCAAATTCCCAAATTAAATTTAACTCCCAGCATAATAACTGCAAGGTTAACCCTCATTTAATATGAAAATTGCTTCCTTTTAAACTAGTGGTATTCAAGAGAATAGATGGACCGGAAGTGGAATAATGTTCCCAGGCAACGGTGTATGTGGATAAGGACATCCCCCGACAAGGGCAGCCACCCTCACCCTTGCACACCTCCATCTTCTACACCTGGAACCAAACCATACGAACCTCCTCAATACAAAAGTGTAAACTTTGGCAAGCTACTCACTCCCAACTCCCATCTGTCTGGATTATGTGAGTTCAGGGTCACCGGCTGCTTTTAGGGGACGATAATCTTTGAGGATTACACACTTTTCATCAGACACCTGTTTAGCTCAGCAAATCCTGCTGAAAGGTCTGTATCAGTCGACAGCACTGGTTTTGCAAGCCTGGGAACAGACACCAGGCCAGGGATTTATGGCAGTTTTTGAGCAGAGGAAATCTGATGACTCTAACCACATTATCTTGTGCTTGGAGATGGCAATTCACTGGTCTAGGCTCATCTGTTACTGGTTTCTGGGTGGAGGCAGCACTGTGACCAAGTGGATGAATGGCAGGTTATCAGTTTAAATAGTGATAAATGAACATGACAAGCTATTTAGGTCTTCTCGTTTAAATTTTGTGGTGATTTTGCAATTAGTGCAGAAGGACAGCCTTAGCATCATTTTAAGAGAACAACAATGTCCCAAATGACCTGTGACCTGCCTGAAATCTTACTGTTTTCCATTTATTAAAAGATACAGATATCTCCCTGGCAAAAGTAGAAATTTTTAACTTTTCAGATATTTTTGTTTTAAGAGATTCAGTTAGAAACTGTGGAAGTTTAAGGCATCTCTTCCATAGGTTCCATGGGCCTGACATGATTATATAACAATTTGAATAAATATTGCCTGGCAATATCCCAAAGTGTGGTTCCCCAGAGCTGCAGCATCAACATCACCCGGGAACTTGCTAGAACTATAAATTCTCAGACCCTACAAGCCCCCAGGTGACTCTGATGGACACAGGTTTGAGGACCACTGCTATAAACCCTGCTCTGGGGCTGTTGGCTTTGATGAGGATGTGAAAATCTCTTTGTGAAGAAGGGAGAGCCACTTAAGAGACAGGACTGAAGAATCTAAAATAGGTGAGCCCTCACCCAGCTTCTTGGTGGTGAACTGGAGAATGGAATCTCCAAAGACCCACCAGACTGAAATTTAGCTAGAGGTCGTTGACTTGCCAAATTACTTTGTTCCATATGTTCTATGCCTGTGCTTCTCAACTTTCATTGTGCAAACAAACCACCTCTTACTAACAATATGATGTAGTATGTCGAGTGGGGCCTGAGAGTCTTCATTCTATAATAACAACTTCCAGTGCCACACTTGAATAGCAATGGTTTATACATTAAATTGGTGGTTCTCAAACATTTTGGTCTCAGGACCTGAAGAGCTTTTGCTTATAAGGGCTTATTTATTGATTTGACTGTCAAATTTTTATTAATTCATTTAAAAAACAATAAGCCCATTATATATTTACGTAATTTTTAAGGAAAAAACCCCTACATTTTCTGAAATATAAACAAGATAGTGAAAAGAGTGGCATTGTTTTACATGCTTGCAAATCTCTTCAACTTCTGGCTTAAGAGAAGACAACTAGATTTTCATATCTACTTTGGCATTATTCAATGTGTTGTGATATTATAGGTCACAAAATTTCTGGAAAACTCCACTGTACACTCATGAGAGAATGAAAGTAAAAAGAAAAAATAGTACCTTAGTATTATTTTGAAAATAGTTATGAGAACTCACGGGACCATACTTTGAGACCATGTGCATTAAATAAGAGAGAAGAATATTTAAAAGTTGGGCAAAGAGGCCACAGGTATTCTAAAACAATGTCATATATTGAATACAGGATGACAGATCAAAAGAGGCGCTAGAGATTGGTTAATACTCTGGAGCCAGACTGCCTGGAATGGAATCTGGGATCCACCATGTAACCAGCTGTGTGACTTCATTTAACCTCTCTGTGCCTCAGATCTCTCATCCATAAAATATGAATAATAATCATACTTATCTCTTACAGTTGTTGTAAGAACGAATACAAAGCACGTAGAACAGTGCTTGGCATATTACAGTAACTCAAT